TTCGCTCTTTGAAAGTCTTTCCATTCCCAATCCGGAAAATAAACGTTCAAAGATGGTTTGAAAAAAGAAAAGTCTCTTAAGAAGTGATAAAGCGTCACCCTGCACACACACATATATAAGTATAAGTATGTATATGTGTGTGGATTGCTTAGTTCAAGAATGAAATTGCTGTGTCGTTCACATGCTAATACTTTTTGGGTATTTTAAACCTCGTCTCTTAAATGGTGTGTCATGGCGTAATAATTAGAACTTGTTTGTGAATACTGTAATACAGGCTTGAATATCGTACTATTGATATGAGTTTGAATGGGTGGCACATATTGTAACTAATTGCCATTCAAACTGACATGTGATTCGTGTGTATAATATTAATATTCTATCCGGTGAAAGGCTCACGCCATAGCAACACTTAAATATTAATTGTGCGACAGCATGAAATAATTGATTTTGGTGAGTGGGAAAAGAAATTTATTGGGCAGGTGGTACGTGCATAGCGTATGCCTTTGATTTTGATAAGACCCAATTCTTGTCCCTGTTGAAATTGTTACCATAAGTATTACAATGATTGTCGTGGCTGATGCTGATATCGGCAAGCAATTATCCGGCATCTACGTTACAACCTGAATTTGGGACAAAGTTTAAAGGGCACCTTTTTATATTGACACTCGTCGAGTACAATCTAAATTTTATTTAATGCACATTCTAGTGTCCCTCTAAAACAAACGCTAAGCCGAATCGTATAACGACCAGCGTTGCAATATAGTATCTGAGCATTTTGGTACCACGTCAGGCAGGGGTACATTGATGCGAAGGGATACACGTATTATCACCTGACGTTATAATTTTTTGTGAGAAAATTGCTGTTGGAGAAATTAACGCGATATTTGTATGGAGAAATTAATTTTTTTTGAAACAGAATGGAAGGAGTCGATGCTCAATTTAAAATCGTGTGCAATATTAATATGTATAGTAATGTACGCGATGCTGAAGAGATTTGGACAGCGAGCTAGATAGCCTTTATCTATGGGAGAGACACGAAAGTTTGACTGCATGCTGTAAACAGACTAATTAATATTAGTAATATGAGAATTCCATGTTTCAGATCATAGATTACGCCATCTAAGTATATATGTTTCACAAATTCCGCAGCATGAAAATCAGGCTAGATGTTGGTTTGACTACTGCTTCATTGCTTGCATGGCATAGTACGCTGCGGATTTATGAACATTGTCCCGCTAATTATATTATAGTCTGCCGTTTCCGCTGCTTTCATTGGTGACTGTTTGAGCCTTTATTACTATTGTTGCGGCATACCACATATTTCGCCTTTAACAAACCAGACAAAGCCAAAGACTAACTATTATGAGACTCTGATATTCTTGATAATGCTCGCAGAGCATAAATTCCCAAGCCACTCCACTTGTTTCGCAGGAAGGAGATAAGATAATGCAAAATTATAGGGGCATAAACTACTGTGGCGTTCAATTGTGATACCAAATTTTTTTTTGTCGTGGCACATCAGGCTGTGTTCCGCTATTTTCTGTACATACCCGTATCTTCGTACAGTTTACACGACCAGTTACCCCACAGCTAATTGTTTCACTGTCATAATGAATTATTTTTCCTCTTTCCGGGCCCAGAATCTCCGTGGATGATACACAAACAAGGAGAATAAGGAAAAGTCAATAAGCGTAGCACCATGATAAAAGATCTAAACAAATGATCCGACATATCTACGTTGTGATCAAACAAAAATTGTGCGATTAAGCCCGTGGGGTGATACTCACTGTTAAATTCACAATTGAACAGTGAGATGAGAATTTATATAACGAAGAACACCTTAATCATTCACAAAATATTAAAAAACCTCCTCTTCAACTAAAATCCGACATATATTTAATTCTTGGATTATAAATATTAGCAATTTAAGACCCACTTTGCTCATCACATCGTTACGACTTTCTATCTCATTTCGAATTCTCTTATCGCAAAATCTTCTTTAATTACGACAATTATCAAGATGTCATCACCGCAAATTCGCATTTCAAAACCTGTGTATTATATGCAAGAGCATTATGACGTTGTTGTGGTTGGGTCTGGATATGGCGGTGCTGTTGCCGCTTCCAGAATGGCCAGAACGGGAAAGAGAGTTGCGTTATTGGAAAGAGGTATGGGTGGATGGTCGATCGATTGCAGCGGGGGGAAAAATGATGGGACTAGAGTTTACTAATTTAGAAAACAAAAAAGGAATTGAACCTTTTCCTTATAATTGATACGAATAGAGTAATTCGTAGTTTGACGACCCAACTATCTATAACGAACAATTTCTGTTTAGGCAAAGAACGATGGCCTGGAGACTACCCAAATACACCCCTGAAATGTACAAGAGAAACCCAGTTTCACACGAAACACAGGTTGGTCGGCAAGAAGACGGCCATGTATCAAATATACTCTGGAGAAGAACAAGATGCCATCTGTGCATGCGGGTGAGTCGAATAAATACAACAAACGCGAACTACATGTATATTTTCGATGATTATATCACGTGACCTATATAATCTTTTTTACAGTCTCGGCGGAACATCCCTCATCAATGCAAACGTTGCCGTAAAAGCTAATGATAAAGTATGGGAAGCAAAAGATGTCTGGCCACCAGAGATTGTCGAAGATTACAGAAATGGAACTTTAGACGAAGGTATCATGAGATTCAGCCTACGATTATGGATGATCGCTTGAAATGGTAAGAATCGGTCGCTTGGCTTTGTAGGTCCTCCGGTATAATAATGTACTTTACCAAAGTAATTGTTTCTTGTAAATACTTAGCAAAGTGGCGAT